CCCACCACCCTCTCCCACCTTCATCTCACCTCTCACCACAAGCACAGGTGGGGACATTCTAAGGTCTGACCAGTCTTAAAAAGGGTTTCGACCACGTGGTAAGTGTGATGAGTAAGGAACTAATAAGGAAGGGATTAGCTGGGCCTCAAGACATCAGGGAAGATTTTTCAGGCCGAATCACTCAACTGACAGGACCATGTCAACAAACATAAGTTTCCTCAGTCATGTGACCCAGCAATGCCCAGCGGCTCCAGTATCTCCCCATCTCTCTTCTCCTTTGAAAATCACAAATGTGACACTGGCGTAGTGGTTCCAAGCACGGTCACACTTGGTAGCTGGGTGGCCTTGGGCCTGTCACCCTCCGTGCCAAAGCCTCAGTTTCATCACCTGAGAACCAGTGGTGATGAGGATGAGGAGGAGGGTGGCAGCAGCTGACGCCTATTGAACCTTTACGATGTGCTTGTGAGGCAGGTTCTGTTACTATCCTATTTAACGGTTGCGGAGACTGAGGCCCAGCGGGATAGCCCAAGGCCTCCAAGAAGTAAGAGGAGGAACTTGGATGTGAACTCGGCTGTCTGGTTCTGCTTCTGGTTAGGGTAAGGGGTAAATCAGATACTATACGAAAACTACCCCCATGGTAAAGAACGTACCCGGTAAGCACACACCATCTTTACATAAGCGAAGGCCCCGAGACAGTAAGAAACAGCAAGGAGTCTGCAACAGAGCGAGCGACAAAGAGAAGGATGTGCGGGGGACGATGTCGAACGCGCGTGCCGAGGCCAGATCACCCAAGGCCGTGGCAGGCAGGGTCCTGGGTCTCATCCCAAGGGCATGGGGGAGGTGATGAGGGGATATGAGCTGCAGCTTGATCCTTTAAGGGATCCTTCTGGCTACCAAGTAGAGGATACGTTATATAGTGCATGTGAAAGCAAGAAAACCAACTAATGGCTACTGCAGGTGTCCAGGCAAGAGATGATGGTGGCTTAGACCCAAAAGCTCTGTGCCTCATTCATTCATTCAATCATCCATCCATCCAGTGAGGTTTTCCATGTACCTGACCCCGTGCTTGGCCCTCTGTCAGGGAAACAGATGAAGCAGATACTACACAAGCCCTCCTGGACCCAACAGCCTGCTTTCATAAGCATGTCCACTGATCAACTTACCACAAAAAACCACGACCTATGATCAGGAATTCAGTTCAACTCACCAAAGAATGAGTAGTTTTGAGCATCTGGCTCTTTGTCAGGCTAGCCTAGACCCAAGAGGTGAGTGTGGCTAGCCAGAACCCTGTTTCCCCCGAGTAACAGAGACAGAGGCCGCCAGTTACTGGGACGCCCAACCCCTACCCATCATCCCCTTCTTCTAAAGCAGGAGTCAAATGACAGCCTAAGGACCAAGTCTGACCCCGTCTGTTTCGGCAGATAGAGCATTCCTGGAACGCAGCATGCTCATTCGTTGCCACGTTGTCCTAGCTGCTCCCACACTACGGCAGAGTGATGTCACTGCAGCAGAGACCACATGACCTGCTAAGCCTGAAATATTCACTATCTGGTCCTATAAAGAAAAGTTTGCTGACCCCTGGTCAAAAAGCAACAGAAGACCATGAATTATATAACTAACTAAGCATTCATTGTGCTGTATATCTGAAACTAATACAAAATAAATCAATTAAAAATTTTTTTGATTTTTAAAGAATTTTAAGCAAAAAAAAAAAGCAATAGAGGAGAGTCTTAGCTAAGCACAAAGCCACCCAGAATAAAGACATCATTCTCAGTCCACCCTGGGTACTAGTTTCTGATCGATGAAATATTGACGGCTTCTATTTTCCTTTCCCTTCTTCTTTTCCCTCTTCTCCAGGCTGGAATGTGGACATGGTGTGAGCACCTGAGACCCCGGAGTGAGGGCCACACCCTAGGGTGGCAGAACCTGGGCCTCGATGGCAAGGAGCCACCACGTTACCCATGGACTGCCTAGTAAAGAAATAAACTTATACGTTAAGTCACTATTATTTGGGTCCTGGTCATGGCCCCTAGAGTATAACCTAATACAAAACAGATCCCGCCTTGGGATGTCCCCTGCGATAAATTCTGTGACACTGTATTCTTCCTTCTGTTGGGTCTACTTAGCTTGGTCGTCATGAAATGCAGTGCATGAATTATCCCCACTTGACAGATGAGGAAGCTGAGGCTCACCTAGAGGTGAGGTCACTTGCCCAAGGTCGAAGATTGCTAAGTTGTTGAGCCAAAATTCAAACCCACGCAATCTAACTGCTCTATGGTTCTCCAGCCTATGTCCCTGGTCCTGAGGCACAGAGAGGTGAAGCCTCTCGCCCAAGGTCACAGAGCCAGAAAGCGAGGCCTGGCCTGGTAGATGCTTAAGCACAGCTACAGGCCCCTCCAGAAGCAGTAACAGTAGAAAATGAACTCCCCAAAATTAGGCTCTTAGAACACGAAATGTCTGAGCAGGAGCAGGCCCTAGAAAATCCTTAGAAAGACTGAGGGCAGAGAAGGGAGGAGATGTGCCCGGGGCCATACTGCCACCCTGCAAATCGACAGCGGAAGCCCCTCCAGAACCAGGCTAGTGACCTTCCCCCAGTATCCGCCCTGTGGGCTCTGTGTGGTTTCACAAGCAAACCTGAGGTAAGGACTTCCTAGAAGAGAGGATGTCAGAGCACGGGGACCCAGCATTTCCGCGAGGTCCCTCATCTCCCTCGCTTCCCTCCAACCACGGTTTTAGCAAAAGGGAGCTAAGTAGCGCTGGCTGTGCACAGGCCCATCGTGCCCCAGAGTTGTGGGCTCTGCCCACAGCAAGGCCACAAGAGGACAGCCTGGGACACAGGGCCTCAAACTCCAGGCCAGCTATAAGAAGAAAGATCCATACAACCACAGTGTAAAAACAAAGCTGGATTGTCACTGGAAGAAGTGAACTGTTATCCCTCGCTGTGACTTGGGGTTGGTTCAGGCCCAAAAGGAGACAGGACAGTTGGAAAGCCACGCTATCCTCTCCACAAAGAGAAAAAGGCAGACCATGGGGTTGGGGGTGGCACCGATGGGGGCTGGATCAATGGAGGACACGGCCTTTCTGAGGACACTTCAGCCAGCTCCAGGAAGGGCTGATCCTGCCCTCACCTGCTGGCTCTGTCCACAGACCTCTGCTCAAGGTGCCAGCATCTAAGCCCAGGAGGCTGAGCTGGGATCTCTATCAAGCACTTTCCCGTACTCACAGTTCTGGGGTCCCCTCGTGACATATCTAGGGTGACAACAGGATGCAAATGAAGAGGCACTGACAAGACCCCCCCACTACTTAAAGAAAAAAAAGAGAACAAGAAGCGAAAAACATCTGGAAATCCAAGAAAACCGAGAAGTGAAAAAGCTGCACAGCACAGCAAAGGAAACCTGCATGCATGCAAACCGTACAAAAATTTCATGCAAATTTATTTCTGATTTTAACGTTTTCAGCCCCAGCTTCAAGTCTGGGGAAACGGTAGCCCCGTGGATTAAGAATTAATAGAGGAAAAGAAATAATGCTCACAGGTCTTAAGAACACCATCCTTCCTCCGGGAGGGGTGAGGGGAAACAGCGGGATGAGGACTCAGGACTGGGAGTTCATGCTCCGACTCTGACCAGCACATACAGTGTGACCTTCGGCAAGCTGCCTCCTCTTTCTGAGCCTAAGTCTCCCGGCTGTGCAACGCAGGGACTGGATGAGAGCCCAGGTCACAAACCAGGCCCTGCAAGTCAAATGCTATTGCCAGCCTCTCTCAGCGAAGCAGCAGCTCTGGCCACTCTGGGCCTGTGTCTTCACCTGACAATAAAAGTGGCCTGAATGGTGGCCACCCACTTAAATGGGACATGTGCTCTACAGTCTGCCACAATACCCACCCCACTGAGTTACACCCAATCTGCTCACTTTTCCCCCATGCCTTACAAGCACCTGTGTTTGAGACCCCGGACTGGTAAGTTTCCACTGACCTTCAGCAGTAGGGTGCCAACATTCAGTGGCTCTATATCCAACTTCCAAAGGAGGCCCTAGCATGGCTCACTGTAAAAGTCTATACCTTGAACTCCCAATTCCCGGTTCTATAGGCATTTCTCTAGAAGGAAGGGTAAAATTGTGAGAGATGATGGTGACGGTGGTGACGGTGGTAGTGGTGGTGATGGTGGTGGTGGTGGTGATGGTGGTGATGGTGATGGTGATGGTGATGGTGGTGGTCATGG